AGGCTCCAGTGTTGCATTCATTTGTTGAAACATCTCACTTAGTATTCTATCAATTCTTAGAACTTTTTTTTTTTTTTTTTTTACTAATACTTTCAGTGCAATTTGGATGTCTTTCAATACCATAGATTACTGATCATAGCATACTTCTTGAAATGCTTGAAAAATGACCTATTTTTGATCCTCTGCAAAATCCCTCATCTGCTTTTGATGCATCTTGTGTCAATCAATATTTTGAAAATGAATCCTTCAGCATTGTAACTTAATGCTTGATTTTTTTCTTCAGAACTTTCATCTTGAGAAATATGCCAATGTGTTTTACCCTCTTCATTCTCTAACTCAAGGCCTTTGCACATTTACATTTAACTGTAATACTTTATTTTGCCTTTTTGAGCTGCCTGTTGGAATCTTAAGTTCAGCTCTTTTAATTCACAGACACTCTCTTGCAAGTCAATAGTAAGTTCAACCTTCTACCACTGAGAGTGCAAATATTTAGTGTCTTTGAATCTTTTATTATTTTTATTCATTCTTTTGATTTAGTGATTCTATGTTCAAGAGAAAGTTTTAGAAGCTCTTTCTGACATTATTTGCTTTCTTTTTTTTAATTATTATTAAATGTCTATTAAATGATCTTTATGATGCTGTTGATGTCACCTCATACATTGCCTGGTCTTTGGACATTAGTAATTCATTGTGTCAAATCTACTTTTAAGATGGTCTTTAAATTCAGGTGGGATATAATCAATGTCATACTTTGGCTCTTGTGGGCTTGTTTTAATTTTCTTCAGTTTCAGCGTGATCTTGTATATGAGTAAATGATGGTATATTTCATAGTCAGTCCCTGACCATGTTATAACTAATGATATTGAACTTCCTCATGTTTTTTTCTATAGATGTAGTAGTCAATTTGATTCCTGTGTATTCTGCCTGATAAAGTCCATGTGTATAGCTACTATTTACATTGTAGAAAAGCAGTATTTGCAATGACTAGTCACTGGTCTTGCATCATTTCTATAATGAAGGCATTATTTTCCAACTACTGATCCTTCTTCTTTGTTTCCAAATTTCTCATTCCAATCACCAGTAATGATCAATTTACCTGATTACATGTTTGATTAATTTCATACTTCAGAAGTTTGTAAAAATCTGCCATTTATTCTTCTTGGCATTAGTGGTTAGTGCATGAATTTATAAAATAGCTGATCTTCCTTACAGACATATAGATATTATCTTTGTACTTCAGTATAGATTTTGAAATGTTCTTTTTGATATTGAATGTGACACTATTCCTCTTCAGTTTTTCATTCCGGACCATTCATTAATTACCAATAATAGTCTATTTCTGCTCACTAAAATTTAGGATATTGATCTTTAAGTGTTCCACTTAATTTTTTGACGACTTCTAATGTGGTATTGTGGAATAAAGCACTGGACCTCAAGACTGGTTTATACTACAAGGTTGGTGGTTCAAACTCACTAGCTACTCCTTGGAAATCCTACATAGGGTTGCTATGGGTCAGAATTGACTCAATGGCACATAAAAACAACAAATTCTCCTAGAGTCACACTTCATCCATTCCATGTTCTGATTATAAATAAATGTTGCAGCTGTTTCTTCTAATATTTAGTGTCATGCCATATCAGCAAATGAGTATCCTGAAATTTTTACTCCATCCATGTCATTAAGGCTGAGTGCCTTCTAACACAAAGTGCTCATCTTCCAGTACTATATCAGACAGTGTTCTGTTGCTACTCATCAGATTTTTACTGGTCAATTAAACATGCAAATTAAATATGGTTAAAAGTAAAATGTGTACATTAGGAAAGTATAGGTAAGTTCAGAGGAGAACAGGGAATCTGGCAGTACCCTTTTATGTAGTGTGCACAATGAAGGGTAAGTATCTTGGCTCCAGGACATGACTTCATGTCCTGTTGCTGTTGTTCTTGTTAGCTGCCATCAAGTTGGATTCTGCTTCATAGAGACTCTATGCACAATGAAACTATCCAGTCCTACGCTGTCCTTACAATTGTTTTACCTGAGTTCATTACTGCTACCACTGTGCCAATCCATTTCACTGAGAGTCTTTCTCTTTCCTGTTGACCCTCCACTTTGCTAAGCATGATGTCCTTCTACAGGGACTGGTCCCTCCTGATAACTTGTCCAACGTATGTGAGATAAAGTGTCACCATTCATGATTCTAAGGAACATTCCATACGTCTTCCAACACAGGTTTGTTTGTTCTTCTGGTAGTCTAATGTCCTAATAGCACCTATATTTCTTATGATCGGAATCTATCAGCCTTGCTTAGTCCAAACCAATAGTAGTTGCAACACATCAAGCAGAAACTTTAGAACTGTGTATGTATTCCCTCCTGTAATTTTCTCCTTTCTTTCACCTGCCCACCACCATTCTTATGCTTTTAACAGGCTCTGCAAGTTTGTGGCAAGGAGAAAATTAAGATTTTTCTGTAAGTCATTTCCATTCTAGTTTCCATTTCCAAAATTTTAAGCCCACTCATAAAGTATTTCTAGAATGAGAAGTTAGGATTTGAGAAGAGTGAAAAGGACATTGAGGGAAATAATAGTGAGGTGCATTTTTAGAATAAAAAGATACTAAGGTACATGTTGTTAAGTGCCATGGGGTCCCGACTCATAGCAATCCTGCACAGGGTTTCTGAGGCTGTAAATCTTTACGGGAGCAGAAGGCCTCATCTTTCTCCCGCGGAACCGCTGGTAGTTTCAAACTGCTGACCTTGCGGTTCACAGCCCGATTCATAACCACTATGCTAATTGGATGATGCACTTCCTGAGTAATAACAATCAGTTGTGGTACCATGAATTTACTTGATGTCACTTTTCTATCCAAAATGACTGGGCATGATCATGCAAACCTGGTGTACAGGACTGTAAAGTTGGGATTGGTTAGTTTGCCATCCAGCTAGACTTAAAAGGAGCCATCTCAGAAGCAGATACATATGATCCCAGAACCATCAAAAAGGAAGAGAATGAGTGGAACATAAGATCCCATCTAGCAAAGTGGTGATAGCAGAGGTACAGACTCAGTGGCATAGAGAGACGGAGCAGCTTTGGGTTCAAGGCATATGGACTGAGTAAAGCTGAGTGCCTATGGGCATGAGTCTAGTTTGCAAAATGTGCCCTTTGGGTATTCACAAACTGGCTAAAAGAGCTTTCTATCAATTGCCTATGCAGGGCAGAGGCCAAGGAGTCACATGGTTGAGAGACGGAAGACAAGAATGGGGCAAGCCTACAGTATGGCAGACAAGAGGCATTCCTGAGTGGAGAACTGCTGCATCCTGAGCTTTTCTGATCCTGAATTGTAGCCTGTTCACTTCCCTAATAAACCCCATGAGTATTGTTATGAGTTCTGTGGTCACTGCAGTGGATTATTGAAACCAGAAATGAAGCAGAGAGTGTGGTGGGAGGAATGGTTGGTGTCAGAATCGGATAAATAAGGTTGTAGGGTAGAAGCATGTCTGACCTCCACTTCATAAGAATCAGCCTCGAATGATTTTGAGTTTGATTCTCTTTCCTCCACGGGAAGTAAGTCCCCACATGGTTTTTGCACCAGTGATTAGAACAATAGTTAAGGAGAACTAACAATTTTGTTGTTTTTGTTAACTGCTTTCATGTCAGGTCTGACTCATAGCGACCTTGTATAGGGTTTCTGAGGATTGGTTGGTGAATTTGAACCACCGACCTTGCAGATCAAACCAACCTTGAAATTGAGTGCTTATCCTACAGAGCCACACCAGGACTCCAATAGGTAGCAGCAATCTCTATGTCAGGCATGACTTCTTAAATTGCTAAGTCACTGGGGAGATCTGAGCGTCTCCTGGGAAGGATACTTTGGAAAGGGATAGCTATTTACCAACCCATCACAAAGGGTTTCACTGGTATCCCAGCACTGGTATATACTGTGTGAGCAGCAGCCCTGTCTTTGCCATTTTAAGCCATTCAAACAGGACAATGAGAAGACCTGAAGGAACTATGTGGGCTGGGAAACAGTGCTTTGGTGGAAATCAGGAGACAAAGGACCACAGACCTTCAGCACTCTATAAGAGTTAACTATCCCTGCACTCTTCCTGGGAGAAGGTCAGAACAAAATGACTGGTTGAATTTACTATCTGCTTGCAAGATAGTGGCTGTGAATTGAAAATAATTTGATTTAAAGAAAATCAGAATTTAAAAGTCACATTTCATTTGATTTTGTGAGATGTGATTCATGTCTGCCACATAGATGGTACATTTCTCAGTCAGGTCGGTACTCCTGATTAGAATTTATCTTTTCATGTTACATGCCTAGGGGGAGGGATGGTGTGCTAGCCAGATGCCAGAGTCCTGCCCTCTCAGCAGTTACAGTTCTCTTTGTTAAATAATAAATTGTGATCTTGATCATAATTTAGCTTCCCAAATGGCATGCCCACAGGGAGAAAATGTGCTAACTATAGGCCATATTTCCTTTTCCTGCGTAAACTGTGTTGCTCACTGACATTAATATATTTTATTCTGATTTTAGTCTTTAGACTCTTAGGCTTGATTAATCATAGTTCACCCCAGGAGATGGATACCTTTTAACTCTGTAGGGAAATTGAATATCTAAGTCCGCAGTGCTAAGATCCAAATCTGATACCTGGAAAACTTACTAAGAAAATATACTACCTAAAAACATTTTTATAAGGCACTTAATTTGAGTTAAAAAGTAGCATAGTGGTTATGAATCAGGCTGCGAAACTTAAGGCCAGCAGTTCGAAACTACCAGCCGTTCCATGGGAGAAAGATGAGGCGTTCTACTCCCATAAAGATTTACAGCCTCGGAAACCCTGTACAGGGTCGCTATGGGTCAGAACAGCACTTAACAACAACAACAACAATTTGAGTTACAAAGACACACTATACTAAATTGCCATGGTGACACAAACCACTTATACTCATTTGTGTGAGCCTCAAAATCTAAGGTCCAAAGTCAGAAGTGAAATACATACCAGAATTAGAAGCCACTTGATTTCTTTGTGAATTCCCAAACAGCCCAAAAGACAAAATACAACAGTAGCAGATCCAGTTCCAATCAGCATTTGGGAAATATTTGTTATCAAGTAACTGCTTTCATCTGTGGAAACACAAAATGACTTATATGAAATGACATTTTGTTTGCTTTCTATTTAATAATAAATACAGCAACCAAAGATTTCCCTAAAAAGCTGTTGTCAAACTTCTAGAATTCTCTATTTTTACAACCCAATTCTAACCCTTACTAACCTTCTTCTTAGCAACAACTTTTTTACATTTCCTAATGTAGAAAATCTCAGACTGTCTCTTACCTTTACCTTGTGTTCATTGTCTGCTATGTTAAAATACCATTTCCTCCCCCGCCCCCAGGTGACCTCTTCTATGTTTGTGCATTCAAACATTCAAATATTCATTCAATATTTCATTTGCTAACAGATACTTAAGTACAAATGTGGGTTACGTGTTCCTTGTCTGACACGCTGAACTTATTATCAATTATCATGCTCTTTGCATTATAAGAAGGTAAGTAAAAAAGTGTCACTACTAGAGTTCCTGGGAGCATGGTGGCTTTGTAATATAAGCACTGGATTGCTAACCACAAGGTTGGCAATTTGAGCTCATCAGCCACTCCACGGGGTCAAGATGAGACTTTCTGCTCCTGCAAATATGTACAGCCTAGGAAAACCTATACAGGGCTCGCTATGAGTCAGAACTGACTCTACGGCAAATAAAAAACAACAACTAGGGTTCATGTTCATACGTGCATGGATTTATTCCAAACACAAAGTATGTAAACATGTCTCTGCAATTAGTGGAAGGCTGCAGACAAGTTCTCTCAGTAATACACTTGTCTTAGTCTCATTAAGGTATATTCAAAAAAAGAGAGATTGAAACAGTGGTTTCTGAGGGGTTTTGCTAGGCTAATTAAATTCAAGGCACATAATTCAACTCATAAGATTTATGGTGACTGATTTTTAGGGTTCCAAAGAGATAATCTTCATAGATTTTCTCACAAGACACAGGATGCTCATGGAGGACTATTAGGAAAAAGTTCTAAGAAAATGGAAAACTGTATTGGTAAGAAAAAAACCAAGAAAGTTGCATTGAGGAATTTTTTTCCATCGCATAATGCACCTGCTAATTCTTTTGGTATAGTACGGATTGCCCTACATTAATTTCATAGGGAACTACTACGCTGCACACCCTACAATCCTGTTCTTTCCCCCTCAGAATTCTTTTCATCCTCCAAATTCAAAGAATATTTGAAGGGAACATAATTTGAGTTCCACATGGATGCCCAAACTGCATTTTTGACATGGTGCAAATTGAAAACCTCAGAATTCTTTATGAACAGGTTAGAGAGATGGGAACACTATCTTCAGAAATTTACAGATTGAGAAGGAGTCTATGTTAAGAAACAATAACTTCACATTTTTATAATTTTATTTAATAAAGTTTTTTAATGATTTATAGCAATTTTTTTTTTTACATATCCTTGTGTTTTACTTAAAAGTCACTTTTATTATACTATACAGTAAGCAAATCTGCCATTTGATTTAGAGAGTGATGCTGTCTTAGCTACCTAGGCCTACCATAACAGAAATACTATAAGTGAGTGTATTTAAAGAACAGAAATTTATTTTTCCACAGTTCAGGAAGACAAGAGGTTTAAATGTAGGATGTGGTCCTCAGAGGTGGTACTTTCTATTTCAGTTTCTAATTGTTGTTGTTGTTAAGTACCATGGAGTTGGTTCCAACTCATAGTGACCCTGCATAGGATTTCTGAAGCTGTAAATCTGTACCACAGCAGAAAGCCTCATTTTTCTTCTGCGGAACAGCTTGTATTTTCAAACTGCTGACCATGAGGTTAGCAGCCTGTTTCATAACCACTACTCTACCAGAGATCCTACCATCCAGTTATCTTTGGTGTGCTAGGGTTGTAAACACAGCTGCTTCCTTCATCTCTCTCTGCCCCCTGTGTATGTTTGTGTCCATTCTGTTTCTTTTTATACTTCAGCTAGGGTAAAGTTCAGGAACCACCTTATATGAACATATCAAAAACCCTTTTTATAAGCTAGATCATAGGTAAAAGGGTTGGGTTAGTATTTCAACACAATTCATTCCACAACAGATACTACCTCTGTCTTTCAAAAGTGTTTGTTATGCAAAACCTCCTGAAAAGGTAGGAAGGAACTAAAGAACAGTAAGTCTCAAGAAATTCCAGAAACCTGTGGGAAAATATTCCCCAATAATAAATTGCTCCTTTTCGCTTGCACCAAATCATAGCACATACTTAGCTTAGTAGAACAGGAGTTGGCAAATATTTTCTATAAAGGTTCAGTAAGAATTTTATTTTAGTTTTTTTGAGCCATATTGTAACTAGTCAACACTGATGATGGAGTGCAAAAGTAGCCATAATAAATATGTAAGTGAATAGGGATAGCTATTCCAATGAAAGTTTATTTCCAAAAACAGCTGTATTTGGTTTGAGGCTTGTTATTTGTTGACACCTGCCACATGATCTCTGATTTTCAAAATCTTTGATAAAAACAGAAAAGTGTTCTTCCTATTGACTAAACATATATACGTTGTTGTTGTTGCCAGGTGCCATGGAGTCGGAACTGACTCATAGCGACCCCATGCACAGCAGAACGAAACAATGTCCGATCCTGGGCCAAC